AAAAAAAAAGAAAAAAGATTAGAGCCCAGATTTTCCCATGTTTGTTTGTTATTTGTATACAAATTTTAAGTGGGTTACTTACTATCAGTCATAGCTCACTGGGGTAGACTTTGTTTGAAGAAATTGGCTCTTGGACTTAAGCTAAAAATTCTCTTGCCTCAGCCTCCCAAGTAGCTGGGACTATAGGCCCCCATCACAATGCCTAACTATTTTTTTGTTGCAGTTCTCATTGTTGTTTTAGTTGGCCTGGGCTGGGTTCAAGCCTGCTAGCCTCAGTGTATGTGGCTGGCACCCTATCCACTGAGCTACGGGCGCTGCCCTCTCTGCCACCTTTTTAATCATTAAAGATTAAATTGTTTCATATGTTTATAATGACAGATATGTGTATTTTAATTGGTCTCTCTTAGCTGGAACATATGATACCTGCGTTTCAAAGAACTTTGTCAACTATAAAGTGGTGTGCAGATACCGGGGAATGGTGGGAATAGTAGCAGTTATCCCAAAGCCATCCTGTTCTCTGATTATACTGGATATAAGACAGCTGACTGCAGTTTTTAAAAACAGATAAAACATTACTTATTTTAGAGTGCTGTAAACCAGCAACTGTTAGGGCTTTTGAAATATTTGCTAGTGTTAAAATATAGTTACTGAAAGCGATTAGTATGTGGAATTTGATTTACAACTATAGTATTAGCCAAAAGAATGAAAACATCATTGAAAGGATATGTTATCTCACATACAGTATAGGCTGATTGGCCTTCTAGTTGTTTATTTTTAACAAGCTTGGGAACCTGCCAGTCACATCCATTTTCGTGTTGTTTTATTGTTTCTTGTTAACATCATTTTATTGTGTTAAATGCCCTCTCACGTTCTTCTTTCCTTCCCAACTCCTGAGGCATATGAAGCCTCTTGGTGAGAAGAGAAATTGTTACAATGTACAACCTCTACTCTCTCCATTTTGCCCTTCAGGTCATTTGCTGTAGTATAGCAGGTTGTGTTTGTAAGATGATTGATTGTATGTCAAGTGTGCAGAACTTGGGGAGTGCTTATATTGAGAACTGAAGCACAGGAAAAAAGCCTTTCCATATATTTAAAAGAATAACATTTTTCATTTTTAGTTACAAAAATGATACATGTCCTTATGTCAAACAACATAAAGGAATATCTAGAAAGCAATTTTCTCTCTCTCCATCTAATCTGTGGAGTAATCAATGTTAATAGTTTGATTGTATCCTGTCTTAGTTCATTCTGGCTGCTGTAACAAGATACCATAAATGGAGTGGTTTATAAACACAGAAATATATTTCTTACAGTTCTGGAGTCTGGGAAGTCTAAGATGGAGGTATTGACAAGCTTAGTGTCTGAGGTCTCTCTTCCTAGTTCATAGTCGGCACTTGTTGTGTCCTTTTTTAAAGAGCGCTAATTCCATTCATGAGGGCATGACCTAATCATCTCCTGGCGGCCCTACCTCCTAATACATTCACCTTGGGGGGTGTGCGTGAAGATTTCAACATGAATTTTGAGGGTGGGGACACAAACATTCAGACTATAGCATCTTCCATCTTCTTGTTTGTGTTTATATAATTATATACTCTCTCCCAATGTATTTTTTCTTTTTTAATAAGAAAAATAGAATCATACTACATATATTTCTCAGCAAATTTCTTTGTTCACTTCATATTATTCCACTAACCTCTAGGCCAGTAGATATACTTACATCCTTGTACATACATGTATGTTTATAGTATTTTTAGGATAATTTCAAAAGTGGGATTGCTGGTCAAAGGGCAGACAAATTTCACATTTTAAAATAGTTTTAAATACCCCAAATAATGGGTACAGTGTAGGGGTACATGGCTTACATCCTGGGTGAAGGACCCAAATATAACTTGTGCTTTTTCTAACAAATGCAAACGGTGTAATCTAATCTTATGCACTCTTATATTAATCCAAAATAAAAAATCATTTTAAGCAATATTTCATTATGTAGTATTATTTATATAGCTGAGAAACCTTAACTTTTTTTTTTTTTTTTTTTTTACATAATGAGTTGTTTTATATAGGGATCTAGTAGGATAAGAAGTAGTTAGGAAATATGATTTTGGTCCCTAACATTTACTTTAGAAAATGTTTTAAAGGATTTTTCTGTAATTATTTTAAATGTCATTCAAGAATTATAAAGTTTTTGGTCTTTGTGGTAGTTTTAAGATAAATAAGATAATAGGAATAATACAAGATCTATGTTTGTCATGTGATAGGTATTCATGTAGTTGTAGAATGAATAAATAAATGAATATAAAGTAGAACTGAGTAAGGACTATAAGTATAAAGTTCCAGACTGAGCACCTCCAAGGGCAGGAACTGTGTCTTGAGTTCTACGTCCCCACTGCCTGACTTACTGCCTGATATTTGTAGAACACATAATTCTATATAGCAGGATTGTAGATTCTTAAAAACAAGATCCCATTCAAGTGTCACTGAGGAGTGACTTTGGCAGGAACTTAGAAGAGCATAATTCATTCAACATGTATTTATTGAGATCTTACTGTATACCCAGCACTCTCCAAGGCACTAACAATAGATAATGTCATGGAACAGATTATTATGTGGAATTTTAGTTTGTTAGCATTTCAAATTAAATGCTAGCACTTAACATGTAAGTTGAAAAAAAAGAATGACCTAAGACTCAATGGCAGAAAGTTCAGGTGACAAGTCTAGGCAGCAGCTTCATGGGCTCCCCAGGTGTGCTGAGCAGTGCAGAGGTGGGGAACTCTGGGGAGCACAAGGAGGAACAAGCAGTGGTGTGTCGCTGCCTCCAGAGCAGCTCTCCTTTTGTTTGCTTTGTGTGTTAG